CCTTTTGTTATTATGTTAGCACAGCTAAAAACTGTTGTGCTGATTAAAGAAGCAATAAAACGGGCCTTCTTGAGACTAGTTGAGTATCTGGAGCATCAGCAATTGTGGGTTCCATTACAGGCTCAAAATGGCCAGAAACAAATAACTTTCTTCTGAAACTCGTCAGTCTATTCTTGTTCTGAGAAATTGGCAAGAAACTGAAGATCTCGTAGAACGCTGTGCATTGCTCCCTTCACAGAACAGCGCAAACTGGCTCTAACCAGAATAGAAAGAGGAGTAGGAGGCCAAATACATTAGAGTGTCTAGTTTGAGAAACAGACGCCTCACAGGTCCTCAACTGGCAATAGTACCCGCAAAACACCAGTCTCAACGTCAAAAGTGAAGCGGCGACTCCGGGATGCTGACCTTCTAGGCAGTTGCAAAGAAAAAGCCATATCTCAGACTGGCCAATAAAAAGAAAAGATTAAGATGGGCAACAAAAAAAAATTCAGACCCTTTGCTATGAGACTCGAAATTGAGCTCAGGTACATCCTGTTTCCATTGATCATCCTTGAAATGTTTCTACAACTTGATTGGAGTCCACCTGTGGTAAATTCAATTGATTGGACATGATTTGGAAAGGCACACACCTGTCTATATAAGGTCCCACAGTTGACAGTGCATGTCAGAGCAAAAACCAAGCCATGAGGTCGAAGGAATTGTCCGTAGAGCTCCAAGACAGAATTGTTTCAAGGCACAGATCTGGGGAAGGGTACCAAAAAATGTCTGCAGCATTGAAGGTCCCCAAGAACACAGTGGCCTCCATCATTCTTAAATGGAAGAAGTTTGGAACCACCAAGACTCTTCCTAGAGCTGGCCTCCCAGCCAAACTGAGCAATCGGGAGAGAAGGGCCTTGGTCAGGGAGGTGACCAAGAACCCAATGGTCACTCTGACAGAGCTCCAGAGTTCCTCTGTGGAGATGGGAGAACCTTCCAGAAGGACAACTATCTCTGCACACTCCACTAATCAGGCCTTTATGGTAGAGTGGCCAGACGGAAGCCACTTCTCAGTAAAAGGCAAATGACAGCCCGCGTGGAGTTCCTAAAGGCTCCTAAAGGACTCGCAGACCACGAGAAACAAGATTCTGTGGTCTGATGAAACCAAGATTGAACTCTTGGTCTTGAATGCCAAACGTCACGTCTGGAGGAAACCTGGCACCATCCCTATGGTGAAGCATGGTGGTGGCAGCATCATGCTGTGGGGATGTTTTTCAGTGGCAGGGACTGGGAGACTAGTCAGGATCGATAGAAAGATGAACAGAGCAAAGTACAGAGAGATCCTTGATGAAAACCTGCTCCAGAGCGCTCAGGACCTCAGACTGGGGCGAAGGTTCATCTTCCAACAGGATGACCATAAGCACACAGCCAAGACAACGCAGGAGTGGCTTCGGGACAAGTCTCTGAATGTCCTTGAGTGGCCCAGCAAAAACCCTGGACTTGAACCCGATCGAACATCTCTGGAGAGACCTGAAAATAGCTGTGCAGCAATGCTCCCCATCCAACCTGACAGAGCTTGAGAGGATCTGCAGAGAAGAATGGGAGAAACTCCCCAAATACAGGTGTGCCATGCTTGTAGCGTCAAACCCAAGAAGACTTGAGGCTGTAATCGCTGCCAAAGGTGCTTCAACAAAGTACTGAGTAAAGGGTCTGAAATAATTATGTAAATGTAATATTTAAGTGTTTTATTTTTTATTTCTAACAACCTGTTTTTGCTTTGTCATTATGGGGTATTGTGTGTAGATTGATGAGGGGGGGAAAACAATTGAATCCATTTTAGAATAAGGCTGTAACGTAACAACATTTCGAAAAGTCAACGGTCTGAATACTTTCGGAATGCACTGTTTCAACACTGTCGGAAATAAAACGTTGATCTCTCCTCTCCCTTCACTGCACTGACTGGAAAAGATTTGAAAGGGGGAAAAAATATGCTGGAAGCTCAACATTAGCCTAGCTTTCACCTGGTACGTTCTTTCAGATCAGTGCAGATGAAGGAGCAGAGGCGAGGACTGAGGAGAGGACAGATTTTTAGACAATGAGAAAGAGCAAGGGATGGTTTTCAACTGCAAGGGAAAAACAGTTGTTTCTAAATCACCCATTTGATTACAACATGATTCAGGCTAATCCATAGCAGTGTGTATAAAACAACAGTGGCTTCTGTAAGCAGCATCAAGTTGATTAGAATCACTCAAAGCAATGACTTTCAGACTGTGAGGCCGCAGCGGTTGCCAGTTGCTGAAAAATGATACAAAATCCTTCTTTGAATCTCTAATCTAATATGGTAGGTTTCGCTGTCTTGTGGTGACCCGGCATATATGAGTCAGTGTGTTCCAAGGCAATACACGGGATATGCTAATGTCTCTCCCCCTACCGTATTTAAAGCCCACTCTCACTTTCTATGTTTCTTCCTGACTTGAAAGAAAATGTATGTGTTTGTCTGTAGGGCTGGTTTCACTGGAAAGATATTCTTTCCTTTCTTTTATCCATTTTCTTTCCACAAGTTCTCTCCTTCCGTTGATCCGATGCCATGAATGTCTCCATTGAGCATTTAAAAAAAATTTGAAATGTAATTTCCCCCGCCTACAACAATGTGTTTTCTACCCACATAATGCCAACTTTGTTTATGTTTACTTTCAGGTCGCAGTTGCAAAAGCAGTGAATTATGGTCTTCCATATTGTTTTTCGCATTTTTTGTGTACCTTGTCTCGTGCTTCCTCTGCTATTCATTTATTTCCTGCTCTCTCTCCCCTTTCTCTCTCTCCCATTCTCTCCTTCTCTCGCTCTCTCTCTCTGCCCTTCACCTACTCTCTCTCTCCTTCTAAATAATTGATGCCTCCCTCCTTACCTTGCCTGCTGTAGTCAAGGAGGCGACGGCAGTCCCGAGGACAACATTGATTCGGAGCTAACAGTGAAGCAGCAGTTCACCCTCCCTACTAATGAGAGCCTATTAGGCTCAGCTTGAAAAGTCAAACTTTGACTAAAAGTTTAAAACATTTATCAGAGTCGATTAGTCTTTCTCCAGACCGATTTGATCATGCATTTTTAAAAAGTTACAGCAGTGTCATGATTGGAAGTCTGAGCCAGTATCTGCTGGAAAGATACTAGGATACTTATTTCCTAAGGGACATATTCTGACTTGAAATAGCACTAAACTCGAATTTGTCTCCCATTGACGTCAATGAATGAGAATAAGGCCCGTTGTGCTTTCAGCAGAGCAAATTTTGCTCCTGTTATTTTCAGAAGGGAATACAAGACAAGAACAAAGCTAAAATCATGACATGTTATTTTAGTAACACTTCCCATGAAGGCCTTACTCATGCTATTTTATCCTTTGTGTTACCTTTGTGTTCTACATTGTACCAGTATATTATTTTGCTCAGAAAAATATCAGGTATAGAGTCTATTATTCATGCTACATTGCGGCTGTGTTGAAACGGCTGTAAACAGATGTGATTTAGCCGAGTGGGAGAGCCCTTTTGACAGCGGATTGAACAGACCACTGATGGTGTCAGCCTGTAGCCCTCTACACAAACATGCCAAAAGACTACATTACCCTACTGGCACAGTTTTTGAGAGAGCAAAGGCTCTGGGTCAATGGCGATCAATCAGATTGATGTCTTGTTTGTTGACTGAATGTGTAAATAAGGTTAAGTCGTGTGTTTCGGAGTCGTGTGTGTTTTGCATGAGTAAGGATGTTCATGTCTTCACCTTCATGTCTTTGTGTGTCTTGTATCCAGATTGATCACTATGCCCAGAGGGATTTGAAGAGGGGACTCCAGCTCTTTGGCACCGAGGGCAACGTGGGCTTGACCAACGCCTGGATGATTATACAAACGGATGTAAGTCCTTAAGCAAGGCACTTAACCCTAATTGCTCCTCTGTCGTTCTGGATAAGAGCGTCTGCTAATTGACTAAAATATAAATGTAAAATGTAAGTCAACTTGTCCTGCTTAGACTGTCCCCTGGTGGTCAACAGTAGAACAGTACAGTCGTCTTAAATTAGCCTGGTCCCAGATCTGTTTATGCCACTGCATGACAATGACCATAGGAGTTAGCAAGACAGCACAATCAGATCTGGGACCAGGCTAGTGTTAAAACAGGCTAAGCTTGGAGAAATACAGTACTGCACGCTAATTACATGATCATATGTACCACTTCATAGGGACGAGGGATTACGCAATCTAACCTGATTCCAACCAATAAGAATAGCCTTGGATTCTTTAAATAGGCTGCCAAACAGTAAGAGAAATGCAAATTGGACTGCACGACTCCCCGAAGAACAACACTGTTTGTTTCCACACTCACTTTGATGTGCTTGGCTTTGTATTATTCATGACCAAAATTCACAGCTCAAATCATGGGCAAAGGAAGGTAGGAAACACAAGGTGAGGAAAGATAGTAGAGAAAAGATTGAATAAAAGGAGCTGATAAAAATGGCGCAGGCACTGCTGGTGAAAGCTGTCGAGAGACATCAAAAGATACAAGATACCAGACTTTGGGCTGTTTGATTACAGAATGGGCCCTTTTTACATTATAAAGTCCAGTTTGATTGTTTGTAGTGTGCATTAGTGAGGTTGTGTGACTGACTGCACATCTGAGTGAGAGGGAGAGAGAGACCATGTGTTCAAGATTAAATTCTAGATTGAGTCACATGTCAAAACCGCAGCAAGAGTTCTCATTCCATAAGACCAAGTTTACCCTCTCCACCCACCACTGAATACATTACCACACTGCAAAATGCACCCAGGCAAAGTTAATCTAGTTTCAATTCAGTAATGACCACTTTGGAGTGATGAGGGAGAACTATCCAAATAAAAGATGTGACAGAGATATGTTTAACATACATATGTCAGTGCCTAAGAACGATCTCTGTTTATGAATCATACAGAATGGTTTTAGTGTGTAGCATGTTTGGTTTTCCTCTCTGTTGGGTCATTGACGTGCAGTGTCCTTGTCTGGTGTAGTTCCGCTGCTGTGGCGTGACCAACCATACGGACTGGTTTGAGGTGTATAACGCCAGCCGCGTGCCCGACTCCTGCTGTCTGGAGTACAGCGACAACTGTGGCCTCGAGAACCCAGGGACCTGGTGGACCGCGGTAAGATGCACAGAATCACACATACTCTGTCTCTCTGTCTCTCTGTCTCTCTGTCTCTCTGACACACGTATGCACACGCATGCACACTAGTTGTTCCCAAATGTTGTTTTTGGTGCCCAAATGTAATTTATTTGGTCCAAAAGCCTTCCTTGTGACCAACCAGGTAAACAAAGCATTACAGTATACTGTTCATAAATCTCAGACAATCCACCCACAGTCCACTGAGTGTTTGCTAAAACCCAACCCACGCTTTGGGAAACACTGCTCTGCTGAAGATAATTACCTGTTCTCATATGCCTTATACCCCAGGTATTGAAATATAAGGGGTATTTAACCCTAAGGTCAGAAATCGGTCTTCTCATGGAAACGTCTGTAGTGTTAGACGTTTTTGTGAGAAGACTGATTTTCGGGATGCCTCCTGGTCTGACAAAATGGGCGTATGCGGTGGATTGAGATGCAGCCCATACAAAAAACCCAGATATCTCTAGTTTAGACAGATTTTGATGTTGATTTTTTAGTTATGTTAATCGTCTCTATGGGGTTTTTAAATCTGGGCCTTGAGGTCTGCAGCAGCCCTGCTGATTTTCTTTATTTTGCCCCTGGTAGTTAATTAATATATAATTATATTATTACTTGATTAATACCCGTGTTTGGCGAGATAATCCACTCAACTGGTGTCCCAGGTCTAAATCCCTGATTATAGGGGAAGACTGAAAACCAGCAGTGCTAAAGACTGAGGCATAAATTATTTCTGCCATATACCATGCCAGGCTCATGCACTCTGTGCCAGTCCCATCGCTGTCTACCATTGTCTATGCCACTTTTTTTTATTAAAACAAAACCCCTTCAGTCTTTGAGATAATAAAATTTCACAATTTTTCGGAAAGACGTGTATTGTTAGTGGTCATCATCCTTTTTATTGACCGTGTTACCTAATGTTTTTGAATGTTAAAAGGGAAGTTTAGAAACTTTTGGTTGAAGTCGCCCAAATGATATCCTTTTTTGTTTTCAATGAAAAAATTAATCCCGCTCGCTTGTTTAAATGTTGTCCCGGCACAGAGCAATGGTACCATCTGCAAGTTATACTCCCATCCTTCCGTCCATAGTGTAATAGGGATGGTAGCTATCCCGGAACATTTGGGCAAAAGGCAAGGGGGGAAAAAGTTTAAAGGGATCCCTTAGAACATGACAAGGAGATGATTTGCAGAGTAAAAGGCATGTATGGGAGGATGTGTCACTTTGTGTTGGGTGGTGTAGAAAAGGGCCTGTGGGCCCCATACTCTTGTAAGTCTACCAAGACTAGCACCAGATGGACTGAATGAGGAAACACATAAAACATGTTCGTTTTGTTTTCTCTAATCTTAAAAATAAAATAACTTTTTCTATGGCTGTTCTATCGACTGAAATTAAATGGAATTGACCCCAACCCTGCTGTAGGCTACACTTAGGCACCTCATGCTATAAATGTGGGTTAATGTGATGTTTTTTGTATAATGTGCTGTAACATTTTTGTTTACATTTCTGTGTGTCTCCACAGCCATGCTACGAGCGGGTGAAGGATTGGCTACAAGAGAATCTGGTGGCCCTGTGGCTATTTGCTTTGTGTACGGCACTCACACAGGTACAGACACTGGTGACACAATTGTACTGTTCAGTGCACATTGAAAGTGCTTTGAATGCCTATGTTTCAGTGGGTAGCATTTTATAGTGATGTCTATTGACAGGGAACCACAACATCTTAGCTTGGCACCAGAAGATCGGTATCTGCTTTTCCAACTTTGCCATACAGACCCCATTCCAAATATCTGCGCATATGAACATTTACTGTAGCTTGCATTGGGGTCAGACTGAATGACATGACAACACAAGTCAGAGGAGTTGGTTAAAGCACATATTGTACAGATCTGGAACCAGGCTAATCTCACTAATAATTGATAAGAAATTAGATGATTTGAAAGTAGGCCACTATTAACTATTACAGTGAATTCCAATTCCAATTTCTGAGGTTGTTCCTTTTATTCTCAATGGAGACACTGGTCGTGTCCAAATACCCATACTAACTTACTACATACTTAAACTGCATACTATTTAGCAAGTAGCGTAGTAAAAAGTATACAGTATGCCACGACTGCAACCTGTGTTGCAGAATAATTTAACCACACCTTTGTTTTATCACAAAAGATAGCAACCTCTGTCCAGTGAAGTCCACAAAGCATATTGCATGTATAGTTACATGACCTACAGCATGGTCAAGCAAGTTAATGTTTCTGACATATTCGGACCACTAAACAACTGTTGATTTAGAACCAAAGAGAGTTACCGCAAGTCGCAAAGAAAACAGGATCTGCCGCCACTATTCCAGCACCATTTCAACTTCAACATTTTATCAACATCACCTTTGCTTAGTCTAATAGTGACAACTAAAAGATACCAAAAACAATTTAGTCCAATCAACGTAAGCTAAATGATGTGGCTGTCCACAGTTCTGATTGCTGTGTGTGTGCATGTGCGCGTTCGTGCAAGTAGAAAAACATGTTGACTCACCCTCCTTGTAGAGAAACGCCAATGCCATCCTCCTCTCTTTCATGTTGACGAAACAGTCTATCACTCTGTCATACAGTACAGTATTTGTTGTTGTCCTAAGCTACCAGGCTAAAATGCTTGCTCGCTAGCCTAACTTCCATTCATGGGCAATGTTAGCTAGTTAACATTAGCCTTCTACATCTAGCTACATATTGAACTTTCAGGCTAGGGGCACAACAATGTATGAATTAATGGTTGGATCAGAATCGCCGTTATAATAATTTGCCAGTACGGAGAATTAAGTAAAACTACAAGTCCAAATCCCTATCTCCATCCATGGCTAATTTAGATGTTGCCTACTATGCAATACTCGTGATCATTTTAAGGAGAACAAAACTACTTAGCCTACATTTGAACACCACCGCAGAAGCTTCGCTGTTCGGCATCTTCTCAATTAAGTAGCCTAGTTTTGTTGTTTGGCTACTTGAAGAGAACTAGGGCCCATCACTCGCAGCCCACCTCTTTCAATGCTTTGTGGAAAGGTGTGCATCGAATTCTACTAGATGAAGAGCTGAAATGAGTACAACATCCTGGCATTTAAACCCTACTAGATTGAAAAAAAATCACATACTAGAAAACGTTATATTTTCGCATGCTGAGGGTGCGTCTTGCGTGATTGCGTTGTTTCCCGTTATTGGTTAATTTCGGTAGCAAATCCCCATATCTGATTATCAGCTGTTGTCAAAGCCGAAATCAGTATGGCATCCGGGCATTTAAAGTATGCTAGATTTTCTAAATGTCCCATACTATAAAACCTTTTTTTTTTTTTTTTGCATACTCAAATGGCCTACTATTTAGGACGCAAGTATGGGTATTCAGACATGGCCACTTTATTGATGATGTAGTTGTGTCACATTGGTTTTGGTTGTGTATGTGTTCCCTTTGTTTAGATTCTGGGTTTGGTCTTCTCAATGACGATGTTCTGCCAAGCAGTCAAAGTGGAGACCTTCTACGCCTAGCAGTGTCCCCTCTGCCCCAAAGGATTCTGGGAATGAGTGAGGCACACACCCCTCTCCCCCTCCCTTTACTCTGTGACAGACCTTTCTCAGCAACGCCCTCGCCGACCAATCCTCATGTAACATCTTCACAATGTCATATCGGGAGCCGATGGATGGTCTTTGCTCAATGAAATGTTATTCACTCATTCTGTGGTCAACATATATATGTAATATATAGAAATACGTATAGAGATGTAATCCTTTTTGAAAGATATGTTTTAAATTATTTTGAATCATTCCATAATCTAAGTGTTTTGAAACGAGAGGAGAGCTAAGGAATGCAGGTCAAGAGTGCATTTTGTAAGACAGGCCATGTGAGTACTAAAGTGCATGGCTCTTATAATGGTGTTTACTAAATGTTTGGCTCGTCCAAATCGACTTTTCCTTGAGTTTTTTTTTCTTCCACCATCAAGAAATACAGTAAATTAGAATGCATTAGAACAGTGAATTCATAATAATACTTATTTAATGAACTAGTTAATCTGGAGGGATTTATTATATATAAATTATAATAATATAAATCAGTATAGCAACTTCAATACTAAGAATGTCTGGATGTTCACAAAACCCATGAAAATAGACAATGGTCCCTAGGCCCATCTAGTGTTGTACAGATCAACAAAACCAACATGAGTCATCCTAGGCTACTAAATATCTCTTGAGATCTGACTGTCACAGAATCTGTCAAGATCCTCGACAACGTCTCCCTGCTGTAGCCTAGGGGCATTTCTTTCTCACAGTTCTCATCAATGTTATTACATTCACATTGACCCAACTTCTGTGTGACCCCACGAATAACCATTCCCTGTGTCCCATGTCTACAGTTAGGTAGACCATACAGGCTTCCATACCAAATGCATGAGAACATCAGAAAACTCTGCAAAACAACCTTTGATTAGAAATATTTATGTGGGTTCAAAATCTCTCTTGGTAGCCTGACATGTAGTTTGACTGTCGGTGTCAGCGGAGTCTTGGTAGCAGCTGTGCATTTCTGTTTACACAATGAACACTGGGGAAAAATATATATTTACAAAAAATATATACAGTGAGGGAAAAAAGTATTTGATCCCCTGCTGATTTTGTACGTTTGCCCACTGACAAAGAAATGATCAGTCTATAATTTTAATGGTAGGTTTATTTGAACAGTGATAGACAGCATAACAACAACAAAATCCAGAAAAACGCATGTCAAAAATATATATATATAATATGTTATAAATTGATTTGCATTTTAATGAGGGAAATAAGTATTTGACCCCCTCTCAATCAGAAAGATTTCTAGCTCCCAGGTGTTTTTTATACAGGTAACGAGCTGAGATTAGGAGCACACTCTTAAAGGGAGTGCTCCTAATCGCAGCTTGTTACCTGTATAAAAGACACCTGTCCACAGAAGCAATCAATCAATCAGATTCCAAACTCTCCACCATGGCCAAGACCAAAGAGCTCTCCAAGGATGTCAGGGACAAGATTGTAGACCTACACAAGGCTGGAATGGGCTACAAGACCATCGCCAAGCAGCTTGGTGAGAAGGTGACAACAGTTGGTGCGATTATTCGCAAATGGAAGAAACACAAAAGAACTGTCAATCTCCCTTGGCCTGGGGCTCCATGCAAGATCTCACCTCGTGGAGTTGCAATGATCATGAGAACGGTGAGGAATCAGCCCAGAACTACACAGGAGGATCTTGTCAATGATCTCAAGGCAGCTGGAACCATAGTCACCAAAAAACAATTGGTAACACACTACCCTGTGAAGGACTGAAATCCTGCAGCGCCCGCAAGGTCCCCCTGCTCAAGAAAGCACATATACAGGGCCGTCTGAAGTTTGCCAATGAACATCTGAATGATTCAGGAGTGTTTTGGTCAGATGAGACCAAAATCGAGCTCTTTGGCATCAACTCAACTCGCCGTGTTTGGAGGAGGAGGAATGCTGCCTATGACCCCAAGAACACCATCCCCACCGTCAAACATGGAGGTGGAGACATTATGCTTTGGGGGTGTTTTTCTGCTAAGGGGACAGGACAACTTCACCGCATCAAAGGGACGATGGACGGGGCCATGTACCGTCAACTCTTGGGTGAGAACCTCCTTCCCTCAGCTAGGGCATTGAAAATGGGTCGTGGATGGGTATTCCAGCATGACAATGACCCAAAACACATGGCCAAGGCAACAAAGGAGTGGCTCAAGAAGAAGCACATTAAGGTCCTGGAGTGGCCTAGCCAGTCTCCAGACCTTAATTCCATAGAAAATCTGTGGAGGGAGCTGAAGGTTCGAGTTGCAAAACGTCAGCCTCGAAACCTTAATGACTTGGAGAAGATCTGCGAAGAGGAGTGGAACTAAATCCCTCCTGAGATATGTGGCAAACCTGGTGGCCAACTACAAGAAACGTCTGACCTCTGTGATTGCCAACAAGGGTTTTGCCACCAAGTACTAAGTCATGTTTTGCAGAGGGGTCAAATACTTATTTCCCTCATTAAAATGCAAATCAATTTATAACATTTTTGACATGCGTTTTCCTGGATTTTTTTGTTGTTATTCTGTCTCTCACTGTTCAAATAAACCTACCATTAAAATTATAGACTGATCATGTCTTTGTCAGTGGGCAAATGTACAAAATCAGCAGGGGATCAAATACTTTTTTCCCTCACTGTATGGGGGATTGGAAATGTAGACAATTACATTGATGGACGCTACAATCTATCTGCAATATTAAAGCTGATCTACCCCCTAAAAAAAACACTGGGAAAACTGCCTGCATCTTCAGATGCTACAGTTAAGCCCTAGCCAGTGGTAGATAACAGGTGTATTTCCTGTCCACAACAACATCTTTGACTGGACAGGCGTGCACACACACACGCAGGCACACACAGGTAGGGGAGACCGGGTTGGGGAACAAAGTAACCCTTTTAGGCTTTTGTTTATTATGAAAAGATTTGAGTTAGATTAATATTTTGATCAACAACGTACATATCTACGTTTCTAGGACTTAACATGCTGCAGGGTTAACTACAACACTGTCTTCAATGGTAAAAAGGAGTGGT